TACCTCCTTGAAACCTCTTTGGATATTCATGAGCAGATTGAAAATCATGACATTGGTTGAGCCTAGGCTCTATTCATTTTAGCATTCTATAGGCATGAAATTTCACTTAAAAATGTTAATTGGATCAGCCCTGCTGCGGATAAATGCATCCTTACAATGCAATTGCAGAGAAATGGGGTGTGAATTTTTCATGTTTCCAAAAGCAAAATGAAGTTGGTCAAAGGAAATGAGGAGTTGGCCCCTAAGTAGGGCAATTCTATTCTATCAAATGCAATACAAAAGCTGCAGGAAACCTGGTAGCTCAACATCCAAAATGGGACTATTAAAATGATAAGGGAATTGTAAGTCTGTCTGTAGTTCACCTAAGATTAGTCTAGAAGAGCCAAGTTTATTTCCTTCTTTAAATAAGTTTGTTTTCTTGTTTCCTAAGCAGACCCATATTTGTGGTTCTTTTCAACACTGTGGGTGTGAAATGAAGAGGAAGAGTCATTTCTGGATTTGTATAAATAAAGTTGTATAAAGGAAGCTAGTTGTCCAATTAAAGCAAAAAGAAAGTTTAAATAACATGTTTATTTGATTTAAAATTGATACATTGCTTCTTTTTATTAATATCAAATTAATGCTAGTAAAAAGACTTTATTGTTGTTTGATAAAATGAAACTTCAGTGAAATTGTTCTCCATATAATTCTGAGCAAAGTTTAACCAATCATGTTTAATTCATTCAGTAGAAACATTAATTTTCTCTTACAATATGGCTAAACGTATTAACCACAAATTACTTTTGTGATCTGCATTTTACCTGTGCCTGAGGCTAAGCAATATTTTTTTAGCTTTCTTGTTTCTTGCCAGTTTTGTCAGAAATTCATACATCACATATGATTGAAACTGTCAAATGTGTCATCCCATAACCAAAAAGACCCCTCAGTTCATTTTTTCACCCACTGTCCACATTCTTTCTGGTTATCACCATAGTTTTAATTGAGTCTGGAAGTTGGTTTTGTTTCATCTTGCTATTTGATTTACTTGAATAATTTTTATATCACATGATTGAAACGAATAAAATCTTTCACTTGCTCACTTATTTTACTTGTTATCTCCTCAAGCTTTAGCCCAATCCCTCTCCCACCAAAAAAGAAAAAAAACAAAAAAACCCCAAAACCTGGCACAGTATCATACTTTTTATAGAAGTGTAGTATTTAATAGAGTTACATAGGGCTGGAACGATAGCACAGCACATAGGGCATTCACCTTACACATGGCCAACCCGGGTCTGTCCCTCTTGGAGAGCCCGGCAAGCTACCGAGAATATCCCTACTGCATGGCAGAGCCTGGCAAGCTTCCCATGGAGTATTTGATATGCCAAAAACAATGGAGATGTTACTGGTGCCCGCTTGAGCAAATCTATGAACAATGGGAGGACAGTGCTACAGTGCTATATATTGAATAGTGAAGATATACTGTGGCTTCTTTATCCAGTGACCTGTTGCTGGTGGGAATTTGGACTCATTCAATGTTTTGGTTACTGTGAATGAAGTCTATATGAATGTGAGTTTGCAAATATATTTTTTTGCATCAGCATTTTAGATTCTGGATAAAAGTCACAGTGAATATTCTGGTGCTTCATTATTCGGACAAATCTTCACACCATTTTCTATAGAGGCATAACCAGTTTATATCCCCACTAGCACTGCTCCAGGGTCCCCTTCCTTCCACTTCCTCATTATCATGTTCTGTTTCCAATCTTTTTAAATTTTTTTATTTTGCAGGGGCAAGGGGGAGAGAACCCAGAGGTTCTCAGGCTTACTCCTGACTCTGAGCTCAGAAACCACTCCTGACGGGGTGGGGAAAGCTTGTGGGACCATACAGGGTGCTAAAGATTGAACCCAGTTAGCATGCAAGGCAAGCTCAACTTGCTGTACAATGACTCTCATCCCCAATATTTTTTATTTAGGCCATTCCCAGGGGCCTCAGATGATATTCATTTCTGGTTTTGATTTGTATTTCCATGATAATAATTGATGTTGAACACTTTTTCCTGTGCTTGTGGGCCATATGCATGTCTTCGTTACAAAAGTTTCTGTTCATGATTTTTTGCCCATTGTTTTCATAATAGTTTTATTTTTTCTCTTTGGTTGAGTTGAGAGTTCTTTATATATGTTGTATATTAACCTTTTGTTGATAGATACTGTACACATATCTTTTATTAAGCCTTAGGTTGCCTTTTATGTGGTAATTTACTTTGGTAATTTACTGTGTTTAAACATATTAATTTGATGTACCCAAATTCATTTACTTTTGTTACACTTGCCTTTAGAGTTTTTGAATATGTTTCTGATATTGAGGCTCTAAAGTGTGTCATTTATATTTTGCTATAATATTTTACTTTGTTTGCTTTGGTTCTGACATCTAAGTCTGACATCAACTGAGCTTGAGTTAATATTTGTATATGGTGTTAACTAGTACTTACACTTCATTTTCATAAATGTGGCAGTTTTACCAACACCATTTGTTAAAGAGGCTTTCTTTTCAAAATTGTTTTGACTTGGATCCTTTGTCATAACCACACATGTCTGATATCTTCATGAGGGAGTAAGTACCTTCTTTTTTTTTCTATAACATTCTGTTGGGTTTTTGAACCTGACCTGATCTCCCAAGGATACAAGTAGTGATAGGAGAACAATAAGTTTCTCATTTTCTTTAAGAATTTATATTTTCTCATTGGACAATGATACTTTTTTTTAAACAGCATGGTGATAGACGAGAAGTCTATACCTTATAAAGGACAAATGACTCAGCAATGTATCAGTATCATTAGTCCTCCAGGGAAAGAATGCCAGCAGCTCTGACTACCATTTATGAAATATGAGTCTTTGCAGTCTCAAAGTGTGTATCTGTAAAGAACCTCTGCTCTAGCTCTAGCCTGACTACTCCTATCTCAGAAATAAGACAATTGATATTCAGAAACATGAAATGATTTGCCTAAGGTCATACATAAACTTGTTGTCTCATAACATTTAAATAAAGCACATTTACCCATCTCAGTAAGTACATGGAAATAAAAATTTTAGAATTCGCACCAATATAATGCAAGTTTCATTTTTAATGGCAGATTATTCTGTAGTAACCACACCATTGTCTTATCTTCAGTCTCCTGTGGGAAATGAGGGTCGCAGCATTGCATCCACTCTAAAAACACAGTCCAGTTTCTGAAAAGCACAGGAGTCCCTTATTCCATGCTCCCCTTAACTTTTAGAAGCAATTGATGGATAAGACAGCTAAGACATGCTATGTCTTTTGCAGAGCAGAACTTGACAGAGATGGAAGTCATCTGTCAAGCGAAGCCAGGCCTGCTGTGTGGCGGTCTAGGACCTCGGCCAGACTTTGCTCCATTAATTGGCTTCCATGCAGGCAGCTATTTTAGCAACAATTCTGTGGATCTTCTGTGGCACATCTTGATTTAAAGTACAATGTTGAAAAGCACTTCTCAACCACTCAAAGCTTCCAGCACTGCTCACATTTAGCTGATTGGACAGAGAGTGAAACGGACTTCAAAATAGTTGTGTAGATATAAGACAAAATTATTTGGGCTTCTCAAATTCAGGTGAAAATTGCAATGAAGTGATAAGTGAGGATTCTGGTTTCTGCCTAAAGAGATACTTTCCCGTAAATCAGATGAAATTGAAAAGAGAGTTTATGGGGAAAATGCTGCTGTGACCTTAAACAGGCAGTCTTTGGGCTGACACTATAATGAGGAATGGAGTGCTATTAAAATATACTGCACATTTTAATGACTCCAGTAGCAGTGAGCCAAAAAAAAATTTTAAGCTCTGAATAATTCTGGGAAGGAGGATTTTGCCAAGGAGATTTTAATGTCAAGAACGTATGTGAGGCTAAAAATAAGGAGTTCACGCGCATCCTAGAGTTGTAGGAGGGATGTATGTATAATCAAATTAAATGATGCCATTTCCACTTATGGAAAAATCCAATGGTAAAAATTGACTGGAAAACATTTAGTCACATTTCACTTGTATTATGCTGATAAATACCAAACTCTAGACTTGTTAAAATAAGCCCCACCAGTACTTCCTGGCTGAGGTGTTCAGTAGACAATGGCTGAGGCATGCAAAAATGGTGAAGAACTTATAAAAACATCATGCCTGGAAGAGCCACAGTGTTTAGTAAGGAAAGAAGCATCTCTGGGTGTGGGAACAGAGCCCAGAGCAGCCTAAGTGTGAAAGGTAAAGGGAGATACCTCAGAGCACCCCACTGACTTCTGAGGCTCAGGCCCCAAGTCTCAGAGGTTGTTAGAGGCTCATGATTTTCAACCCCATTTTTCTTCTTTTCAGGGCAAGTAACTCTCAATTTTGCCCCTGTATTGGAGGACCAATGATTGTTCTTTTTATGAAAGGCATGTGTTGCTACAATGGGACTATGAGGTTGGCTGCTTCCATCATGCCTGTCTGCCAAACAAGGCCATCTGCAGAGATAACAAAAAGAGCCAATGTCTGAAAATGAATTTGTTGGCATATCAAGGACAAACATCTTATTGGCCACAATTACTCAACCTCCAATCCAAAAAATGGGAGGAAAATCTCAGCCTAGATGAATATTTTATTTACTTCTTAAATTGTAACTGAGAGGCTCATATACAGTTCTCCTTCTTTAATCTCTGCTGGTTTCCTATCTTCGGCTTCCCCAAGCCTGGACACTGATCCAGCAATGCCCCTGGTACTGAGCAGCGGGATGAAGTGAGGGGTGGCTGTAAATAACAGAGAGACGGACCATCCTTCCTGGCTGGTTTGAAGAGTTGGTGATTTAATATTGACCAGTATTTACTGATGCAGGTAACACAGCATTATCAGAAAACTTGCTTTCTGCATTCCTTAAGTGACAACAGAGGCATGGTGAAGAAATCAGTTTCTGTGTAAGTGCCCAAGGTGGTGAAAGAGACCCAGGCGAGCTCATGGACCAGTCAGCCTAGAAAACATTGTTTGAAGTTCTAGATGAATTCTGGCTTGGGAAAAACCTGCATCTTATGCCTCTCAGCTCTCTCTCGGTGTGTCATTCTGGAATCTTGCAATCTTTGCTCCCTAGAGAAAAAAAGGACCAGGTAATGAAAAATAATTTGGCTTGAGAAAAAATAACATGTCTGTGAGAATATACTAGGGATTATACATAGTGACAGACTTCCCAGGTAATAGGGATTATACATAGTGACAGACTTCCCAGGTAATATCCCGTATCTGCTTTCCTCATGTCACAAGCCTTCTTTCTACTGGTCAGAACCAGAGTCCATTGGACACAGAAACCCTGAAAAGAGAGAACAACTACCAATAGTTCTATTGGACAGGTAAGGAAGCCCTGAGACTTTGGGAAGTTGAATAATTTAACTAAGATTACACTTAGCCATGAATCAGCAATAGTAGGAATTGAATCTTGGTATAGAAAAGATCTGAGTTTGCTTAGGTCTTAAACCTGCCCTACTATTTTATTGCCAGTAGATTTCTCCACCTACTCCCTGTAGCTTCTCCAGGAAGACAGCTGAAAATTAGCAAAATGACTGAGTAGTTGTGGGAGGGATCTAATTTCAGTTCTGTAACTAATTATTCACATAACCTCAATAATATCACATATCTCTTGAGTCTTTATTTATTTGTAATCTGTCCTGCTGTAACAAGGACATTGTATTGAGGTAACTGATATGTAGAAGCTCTGAATCAGAGGAAAAAGAAATTGTAGATATGACCTGCTATCATGAAGAAAGGGCATAGGCTATGGCCTGAGCCTGGTTTTGAATGGTTCTGCTAGTAGAAAATTTGTCCTCTTTAGTATCTGGAGACCCACTGCTAGAGAGCTCTGGTACAAGGAAGATACAAGTGAGTGTGAGTGCAGTGACCAGCGCAGAGTGTGTGATCTAGAAGTGGCCTTACCTGCAGGGAAAACAGACAGAGCCGTTGAACACACCATAAATGAGAGGGTTGATGGCACTGTTTAAGGCTGGGAGGTTCTGAATGATCACAGAGGTGTAAAAGCGCTCTTTGGTGTCTGGAAGGAGGTTAAAGTTATCCAAAATATCGAAGAGAAAGTATGGACTCCAGCAGCAGATAAAGGCTGGGAAAAAGAGAAATTAGCTTGACAGTGGGTCACAGAAATTAGATTTCTTAACACCCGGGATCATTCAAAACTCTCTTGAACAGGTGAATATGTCATCATCCCATTTTCTTAAACACACGCGCACACACACACACACACACACACACACACACACACACAATACAAACATATTCCATTGCTTTGTTTCTAGAGCAGAGAGTTTCTTGGAGTTTCTGGAAGGGGAGGGTTTGATATGATAACTATTTTGACTTTTTATTAAAAGTCTGAGATCAAGTGGGTGTGACTTTAACTTCTCAACCTCCACAATGTGGAGGGCAACTCAGCAAAGTCCTTGAGATTCTGGATAATAAGGAAGAACAGATAGAATCTCCCAGTTTTAGGTGAGGGGAAGGGTACTTCCTGGCCAAAGTCCAATATTCTCAAGTTGATTTTCTGCTTCTAAGTGAATTACTCAAGAGAACACCCATGCTTTAACCCTCTTCACAGCACTTGGTTCAGTGTGTGAGACCCTTTTTGTGTTTGATTCCAAATTCCCAGAGGAGAGAGGTGGAAAATGGAAATACAGATTATGATGGGGAATTTTCTGTGTCAACTTTGATTGGTCCATGAAATGCCCCACTGTTTGGCTAGACATTATTTCTGGGTGTTTTTGTGAAAACTTTCCTGAATGAGATGAAAATTTGAATTGGTAGACTAAGAAATGCAAATTGTCCTTCTCAATGTCATTGGGTTTAATTCAGTCCAACAAAGCCTGAGTAGAGGTCTGAATGGAGTGAGGAAGGATTTGAGCTCTCTGCTTGAGAGATCTAGTGGGAGCTCTGGCCTCCTGCCTGCAGACTCAGTCTCAGATGGGAATGATACCACCAATTCTCCAGATTCTGTGGATCTTGGGACTTCTCAGTTCCAAAATTAGATGAGCTAATTCCTTATAATAAATCTTTTTACTTTTCTCTCTCCTTTTCCTGCCTCTTGTTTCTCTGGAGAATGCAGACTAATGCCCTTATATACAGAGAAAGACATTTTTAGGGCTGACTGTACCTCAATTTTCACGACACATTCTCTCTCCTGCTTCTCCACAGACCTTGAAAATATATTAAAGGAAATTGAAACACAAAGGCTAATGGGTATTTTGGGGTCTGATGACTAACCTTGATGATGGCCCAGAATAGTGACTCTGGGACATTGGAAGGGCAAAGTTGCCTTTGGGGATATTTTGAAAAATGTCTGCTTTGTGTTTGTATGTGAGGGGCAGAGGCTCTGAGTTGCCAGAGGTGCTCATTCTCCTCTGTGGTTCCGGCAGAATCTCACTCATGTCTCAGACAGCCATCACAAAAATAGACCTTCATGCAGGTATGAGCCCTATGTACAACTGCGATTGTCTGAAAACTTAATTTTATTTTATACAGAACAAAATATTTTGTTAAGTATTCTTCCAAAAATACAATTCCCCTTCAAGTGGAGGAAAAATAATTTTATTTAATTTTAAATTTTACCAGGGTTTGCTCACCTCGGAAAACCAGGTGACTGACAGAAATACACATCACATCACTTAGTGTTTCCATGAACAGCCCACTGCCCTTTATGGTTTTAATTTGTGATTATTGCTTTATCTAGGTATAACCATCTGGCTACTTCATTATTCTTCTAGTGTAGCTGTGCCCAATAATTCACACACTGAAATCCACAATGCTTTATTTTAAGTTACTTTCTTTCCATTCCTCCTTTATATAATTATACATTGATCTTTGAAGAAAGATGTTGGGTACATAATACTATGCTCCACTTTATTTCAGTATGGTTAAGGGCATTATGGCTTGTTTGATACAGCAGGGACTTTGGGGGGCTTTAGGGTAATAGGCACAGACTGATCTTCTTGTGGGCATCTTACTTTCTGATTACAGAGTCCTGACAGGGTGGGCATAGAGCTCCTGATAATAAAGGCATGTATAAGACACATCATTTGACTCAATATCCAGGGAACATGTATCTATGCTTCTGATTCTTTGCAAAGAAAAGAAATGTCGTTGATCTATTTTAGAATTTTCCGGAAAGGATTTGATCCCTGGTGGGTTGGGTATGCTTTCTCTCCATTCTGCCTGCAGTGTTGTTTTGTACCTATGTTCTGCTGGCTGAGTCATGCTGTTTGTGGTCTATTTGGCATTTCATAGTTGAGATATAGAAAGATGAAGCTTATAGTTTTGGTGATTTGACATGCATCTAACATGAGAACTTTGCTTTTTAAAAGATTCCCCAGAGCTACACCAGGAGGAGACAAGGGTCATTTAAGCAAAATTAAAAGAAAATAGCACAAATGCTTTTTCTTCCTATATATCCTCATTCATTATTTAAAAATAACTAAGCAACCAGTGTGTGTAGTAATTTATAGAATATTTTAGTGGTGATAATATAAGAATGTATAAGCTGAAGGCTTTATTCTCATGGATTTATTAATACAACAAGGGGAAGAGACAATAACCAAAATCAATATATATCCTCTAATTTCAAGAACTATGAAGGAAATAAGGCAAGAGGAATCCTTTAGACTTGTAAATAGAAGGTCATTTTGAAAAGTGACATAGTTGAACATGAAACTGTGTGGAGCAGGTCAAGACCTCATTGAAGCAAAACATTTGAGTGGAGAGGAAACAGTGAAAGTCCTCTGAGGAACAAATTCACGTTTTGAAGAAATAGCAAGTATCCCAGTGCGACTGGCATAGAATGGCATAAGTGAGAAGGTGACAGTATACATGATTAGAAACAGATCACAAAGGCCTAGGAAGTTTGGGGAGGTAAGTAAGTTTCATTCCCAATATAATTGGGAACCATGGGGACTTTCAGAGTAGTGACAGAGTATGGTTTATGTTTTTTCATAATTTTATTGACAACTTTTCAGAGAAGGACAATAGATGACAGGAGAAAAAAATCTTGTTTTAGAGACAAAGGCTCTGACTAACACAGGAGTTGTACAGATGGCAAGAAATGTTTAGATTTGAGGTTTTTTTTGGGGGGGGGGTGGGAATAGATTCAGGTCTTCCTAAGAGACTAGACATGTGTGGTCTGAGAGAAATAGAATAACAGATGATTTGTAAATTTTTGAATGAAAGATGATTTTGTCTAAAATGAGAACAATCGAGAGGAGTGTTGCTTTTGCAGAGGGTAGAATATGCTGAGACTTCTGGTTTATGTGTTAACAGTTAAGAGAAAATTAGAAATTTTACAAAAAGATCTTAAGTAAAAATTATAGTTATATTCCATATGCAAAATAAAGTCTCAGAAGAAGGGATGGAGCCAATATTGTTCATAGTTTGAGATAGAGATTGAGAATAGATATTTGATATTTTTGAGGTTATGGTGATCTTTAGGATGGTTTTACTCAAACAATTGGGAAGAAGGGCCATAGAAGTAGGGTCCAGAGAATAAGATGAAACTGGAGAGTCAGAAAAGAAAGTGGAAGACTACCAGGGTTTATTACTGGAAAGTTCATGAAGAGGCCTATTATGGTATTGTCACAGTAAAGTCAAAGGGGAGTGGGAGGGACCCAGGCAATACTGATTGACTTGGTCATTTAAAATCTCACCAACATGAGGGGTGGCAAGTCTTACAGATAATGAAAATGTCAAAGAGATAGAGACAAGAAATCCATAAAAGGGAATACAGGAGGTAGGGTCGGGATTTCCTCTTTGTCCTCTCACCTACACCTGGGAAAATGGCAGGAAAGTTCCCACCCACCTGTTTTGAGAACCAAGGAAAGTCAAAGAGGAAGCCCAGGACACGTAACTCCTTCTTGCGCCATCTCTTTCAACTGGATGGATAGTAATGTCTGAGCGGATGACAGGAAAAGCAAAGCAACATATGGCCAGAGAATGACAGAAACCCAAAGAGACAGACTAGCAAGCACTAACCAGGAGAGGTAGATCACAAAGCATCAGTGGCAGAAGGGAAACATTGGGGCGCCTAGACAGAGCTAGGGAGAGACCAGCACAGATCAAAGACAGCAAACATGGAAGTCAGAATATACCAGAGTAAGGCCTAAACATAGGCATGGGCGCATCCAGACTACCTTCTTATAACTGTTCAATAAAGAACTCTAACTTCATAAACTTCTGGAATGCTGCCTGATAATTTTACATGCAGAACTCCAGGGACCCTTCAGGAACTAGATGGAGTTTCATGGTAATGTATAAATGATCCAGGCAAGAGGGAATCTGCATGGAAAAAAGGAGATCATGCGAACAGAAAAAAATTTTTACTAGGCAGAAAGAAAAGAGATTTGGGCAGAAGTGAACATTTTCAAAATCTAAAAAAGCAGAAACAAGTTTATTCCTAGTGATAGGAGAAAAGGGAGAACTTACGGTAGAGAGTCAAGTGGGCTGTTGCAAGGGAAGGCAGAATCAAGCAATTCTGTTTTGATGACTTGTCTTCTCTTAGTGAAATAAAAAATAAGAATATTAGCAGAACGTTCAGGAGCTTAGGGAGAACACAGACATGTGTGACACATATTTGTGCCCTCAAAATACTTTAAAAGAATTTTGTAGGCGGGAAGGAAACAGGAGGGCAGTAGATAGTAAGATGGCCTTTAAGGAGGGATCTGAAGTAACCCTGAAATTAAAGACCCAGATGATATGGAATGTCACATCTGTCTTCCTTTTGCTCATCAACTTTAACCCTGTGGGAGGAGGACTTAGAGATAAAAATGAGCCAAATGAAAAGGAAGAGCATCAGACTCAGAAGACTATTTTCTAATAAGATTTTTTTTCTTTCCTTTCTCTTTCTCTCTCTTTTTCTCTCATTTTCTCTCTCCCTCATTTTCTCTCTCCCTCTCTTTCTCTCTCTCTCTTTCTCTCTCTCTTTCTTTCTTTCTTTCTTTCTTTCTTTCTTTCTTTCTTTCTTTCTTTCTTTCTTTCTCTCTTTCTTTTGGTTTTTGGGCCACGCCCTGCAGTGCTCAGGGTTTAATCCTCGCTCCGTGCTCAGGGGTCATTCCTGGTGGGCCTGGGAAACCATATGAGGTGCTGGGGATCTAACCCAGGTCAGCTGCTTGCAAGTCAAATGGCCTACCTGCTATACTGTTGCTCCAGACCCATCCTAGTGAGATTTTCTCCAAATGCTCCATCTAGTCTCACCAGTGGATAACTCTATCCACAGGAAAGGAATTAGGAGCCATGTTTCTTTCATGGGCTGGAGCGATAACACAGTGGGTAGGGCATTTGCCTTGCAAGCGGCCAACATGGCCGATCTGAGTTCGATTCCTCCGCCCCTCTCGGAGAGCCCAGCAAGCTACTGAGAGGATCTCACCCGCATGGCAAAGCCTGGCAAGCTACCCATGATGTATTCGATATGCCAAACACAGTAACAACAAAGTATCATGATGGAGATGTTACTGGGCCTGCTCGAGCAAATCGATGAACAATGGGAGGACAGTGACAGTGACAGTTTCTTTCATGGAGTTACAGAAGGAAAGTTTGCACATTTCCCTCCCAGTAGACAAAGACTGAAGTGCCTGTGGATAAGCTCCTTTCTTTTGCAAGCTTTCAACACATAATCTGAGGTACAAGTTTGCTTTTGGAATTTTGACATAATCTTGCAACATGAGAAGGGGTGATGCTTACCAAGAATGATGACAGCACTGTACTTGATGGCCTTGAATCTTGCTTTCGAGATGAGTCCTCGGTTGTAGCTGGTACACAGCTTTCCATCTGCAGATACAGAAGTTGAAATGGAACAATGAAGCATTGTTTCTGCCAGCACTCATCCTACTCATCTATGTCAGGAGGACCTTCTTGGATATTTCAGGGTAAAAAGGCATGGCGTGGATGCTAGAAACATTCAGTTTGTAGCATAATAAATGACTTGGGGTGCCTGGACTCTAACGGAGCTTGTTTGGATGCCCTGTGCCCTCAAAGCTGAAGTTTTCCATGTGATTACAGGAGTGAAGTTTAGACACCCATCTGGCTACTTTAACTACCCAAAAATGCCAACTTCCTTGAAGTTCCTAGACCAGGAACTTCATTCTCACTAGAAGCACAAGACAGGGATGAAAGTGAGTCTGAGGGTGTGTGAGTGTGTGTATTGAGTGAGCCAATACAAACAGCTCTAGTTAAGGGGATTTGGTAAAGGAAGCATTAAGATGAAACCCAAGCACAAAAATTTATAAGTCTACAACTGTACCTCATGGTGTTTCACTAATTAAAAAAAATAAAATAACTGACTACTTAAGATAAAAAATAAATAAAACAGTACGATTTATTTTTTCAAATTTACTACAAAATAAATACAAAGGAAAAAAGAATATTCCACATTTATAAAAAAAAGATAGTCATAATTTAGTGCAATAGCACTTGGTGGAAGGAGTGAAGTGACGGTGATTTGATGATTGGAGGTAAGAGACAGTCTTTTTTTTTCTTACAATTGTGTTTATTCAATAGTATGCTTACCATATTACATAAAATATATCATAAGTATTTTATATACATGCTTACCTACAACTTCCCACTCTGAGTCTTAATGTAAACATGATGTTTTCTGGTTCCCTATATTATATATATATATATATATATATATATATATATATATATATAATTTATTATTAGTGAAACACCATGAGGTACAGTTGTAGATTTACAAATTTTTGTGCTTGGATCTCGGTCATACCACGATCAAATACCAATCCCTCCACCAGTGCCCATTTTCCACCACCAGGATAATATCCCTCCCCCCCATCCCCCCATCCCCCCCATCCCCCCCTGCCACTGTGGCAGGGCATTCCCTTTTGTTCTCTCTCTCCTTTTGGGTGTTGTGATCAGCAAAAGAGGCATTGAGTGGCGAACATGTTCAGTCCAGTCTACTTTCAACCTGCATCTCCCCTCCTGGGAGGATCCTCCAAACACCCTCCACTTGGTGTTCCCCTTTCTATCTGAATTGTCCTTTCCCCTCGAATACCCGGCTGGCCTCTAAGTTATGGAGTAATTCTCCTGGTGTTGCTCTCAGCTATTCTTGGGTATTAATCTCATATTTTATTATTTTATATCCCCCAGATGAATGCAATCTTTCTATGTCTATCCCTCTCTTTCTGACTCATTTCGCTTAGCATGATACTTTCCATATTGTACCACTTGTATATAAAGTTCATGACTTCATCTTTTCTAAGAGCTACATAGTACTCCATTGTGTAGATGTACCAAAGTTTCTTTAACCAGTCATCTGTTCTTGGGCACTCAGGTCTCTTCCAGTTTCTGGCTACTGTAAAGAGTGCTGCAATGAACAAACAAGTGCAGATGTCACTTCGGCTACACATTTTTGCCTCTCTGGGATATATTCCCAGGAGTGGTATCGCTGGGTCAAATGGGAGCTCAATTTCTAATTTTTTGAGGAACGTCCATACTGTTTTCCAAAAGGGCTGAACCAGTCGGCATTCCCACCAACAGTGAAGGAGTGTCCCTTTCTCGCCACATCCACGCCAGCAACGGTTGCTTTTGTTCTTTTGAATGTGGGCCAGTCTCTGAGGTGTGAGATGGTATCTCATTGTGGTTTTGATCTGCATCTCCCTGATGATTAATGATGTAGAGCATTTTCTCATGTGCTTTTTTGCCATTCGGATTTCTTCTTTGAGAAAGTTTCTGTTCATTTCATTGCCCCATTTTTTGATGGGGTTAGATGTTTTCTTCTTGTGGAGTTCAACCAGTATTTTGTATATCCTTGATATCAACCCCTTGTCAGATGTGTATTCGGCGAATATTCTTTCCCATTCTGTAGACTGTCTTTGTATTTTGGTCACTGATTCTTTGGAGGTACAGAAGCTTCTTAGTTTAAGATAGTCCCATTTATCTATCTCTGTTTTCACTTGCTCAGCCAGTGGCGTGACATCTTTGAACATACCATTAGCCTCAATGTCATGGAGGGTTTTGCCAACTTTGTCTTCAATGTATCTTATGGTTTCTGGTCTGATGTTGAGGTCTTTAATCCATTTTGATCTTACCTTTGTACATGGTGTTAGGCAGAGTTCTGAGCCCATTTTTTTGCATGTAGCCGTCCAGTGATGCCAGCACAATTTGTTAAAGAGGCTTTCCTTACTCCACTTCACATTTCTTGCACCTTTATCAAATATTAGATGATCATATGATTGAGGGGAGATGTCAGTGTATTCAACTCTGTTCCATTGGTCTGCAGTTCTGACTTCGTTCCAGTACCATGCTGTTTTGATTATTACCGCTTTGTAGTAAAGTTTAAAGTTAGGGAGGTTGATTCTTCCCATTTTCTTTTTCCCAAGAATTGCTTTAGCTATTCGTGGGGGTTTATTGTTCCATATAAATTTCAGGAGTGTTTGCTCCATTTCTTTGAAGAATGTCATGGGTATCCTTATAGGAATTGCATTGAATTTGTACAGTGCTTTCGGTAGTATTGCCATTTTGACAATGTTAAGTCTCCCGACCCATGAGCAGGGGATGTCTTTCCATTTCCTCGTGTCCTCTTTTATTTCCTGAAGTAGCGTTTTGTAGTTTTCTTTGTACAGGTCCTTTACTTCCTTAGTTAAGCTGATTCCTAGGTACTTGATTTTCTGGGGCACAATTGTGAACGGGATTGATTTTTTCATATAGCTTTCCTCTCTCTCACTGTTTGCGTATAGGAAAGCCAAGGACTTTTGGGTATTGATTTTATAACCTGCAACTTTACTATACAAGTCTATTGTTTCTAGGAGTTTTTTGGTGGAGGTTATTGGGTTCTCTAAGTATAGTATCATATCATCTGCGAATAGTGAGAGCTTGATTTCTTCCTTTCCTACCTGAATGCCCTTAATATCTTTTTCTTGCCTAATTGCTATTGCAAGTACTTCCAGTACTATATTGAACAGCAGTGGAGAGAGTGGGCATCCTTGAAGAGACAGTGTTTTCATGTTCCGAAGAGGTTTGCTTGTCATGACTCATGTGAGTTCACATGGTGTCTTTGTGAAAATTGAGCAAAGGGTGGGTGCTTCCCTGCCACAAAGCACTTCTCTCTGGGGGAGAAGCCTGGTGGGATGCTGTGTCCCACAGAGTGCACTGAATGCCATTGTTTAGCACCCAGGGATGCAGGCCCCATGGAAGCCCAGGTCTGTCCTCTCTGGGAACATAAGATAACTTTTTGGTGAGGAGTAGCTCCCCACCAGTGCTCAGGGGGGTTGGGAAATTCTCCTGGTGATTCTTTACCAACTGTGATGGTGGTTCGATGTGAGGATCCAAGTCTTGGTGTTGCTCAGGCCCTGAGGTGCTGTGGATTACCCAGAACATTACCCAGGACATTCTAGGCTTGTATTTTATCTGACAATACTTCAGGAGACCACCTAGTGCTGACAACCAAGCCTATTTGGCTACTTGCAGGGGCTTAACCCTTAAACAATCATTCCAGGTCCCTGAGTCCTAAGCTTCATGGGGCAGGGATATCTCACACCAGGTACAGCTGCTGTGCTCTCCTGTCTGTGCTCCAGTAGTCAGAGTCCACATATGAGGTTTAATTAAATCCCCAGAGAAATTGAGAACTGGTCTTTGCACAAGCTATTCTACACCCTCTCCAATCCAATCCAGTCAACAGAACAATCACAGCACAACTGCTAAAACACAAGGACTGAAGAAAAGATGCCAAAATGAATTTCACATTCTCTAAGCACTTTCAACCCAGGAGAAAAGATCATATACTCTCCACAGGATGAGTGGGCTGAGAGACACAAACCAAGTATGAGGGCAAGAAGAGAATCACCTTTCATCTCCCTCCAGCTAGCCCCGCCCCCCCCACCCAACACACACACAACACTACCAAGTGAATCTGTGTGGCAGGTGCAAAGATGCCCAAAATGGAACTGGGCTATGGATGTAGAATTGGATAAGAGACAGAAAGCAGAGGAAGGGCTTCAGTCAGAGTACAAATGAAACACCTATGAATCAGCTATTTAACCGGAACTCCCCAAAACATTGGTTTGAGAGTGGTTGAAGTCTAAGATCAAGGTGTGTGGAAACTTTAAACTCTTACTGGATGGTGGGGCCACACTTAGCATTGCTCAGAGCTTATTCCCAGCTCTGCACTCTCTTCGGGCAGGACTTAGAGTACCATATGGGTATAGGGGACAGAAACAGGTCTGGTGGCATGCAAGGCAAGTGCCCTACCCTCTGTACTATCCCTCTCGTCCTAAACTTTAAACATTTTTATGATGAGTTTGGACTAAATTTCTGAGGTAACCAAAAGTCATGAAACTTCTGAACATTTTCTCCATCTGAATGTGTCCTATTATAGAAGAAAAACTTCTAGGAATAATAATGAGGGGCTTCTTAGGTGCAGTGAGCTGAAATGATGATTTTAAATAGACTTTTTATTTCTTAAAAGTAAAACCTATAAGGCTATCTTAGGTACAATTTGGGTCTCCAAATAATTCTGTGCATTTCACAGAAACATAAAATCTTAGCGGTGTAAGGAGGTAAATATGTCAGAAACTGTTACAACAATGGTTCTCAAGAGAGGTGACATTTCCTTCCAACTTTCCTCCAGTTATATTTGACAACGCTTGGGAACATTTTTGGTTGTCACCTATGTTGGGGGGGTCAGTTTGCTGCTACTATCTAGTGGTTTTACCCAGAAATGCTGCTAAATCTCTTCAACGGGCAGAACAACACCTCCAAAACAAAGAATTGTCCTGTGTAAACCACCTCTGGGTCAAACCCTCACATCCACG